GTCGCCGCCAAGGACGACTACTCGCTCGACTCGCTCGCCGCGTACGGCACGGCGCTGAAGGAGCACCAGGCGACCGAGGCGTCGCGCGAGGGCGGCCTGTCGGCGGCGCACACGGCCGCGCACGAGTACCTCGCCGGCCTCGTCGCCTCGGAGCAGTCGCGCATCCGGAAGGCCGGCGGCGACGAGCGCGTCGACTCGGCCTTCCTCGCCAAGCTCGAGGCGGCGATGGAGGAGCACGAGACCAAGTTCGACCAGGCACGCGTCCCGCCCGCCGCCCTCTGCCCAACCCACCGCCGCCAGCCATCGAGCTGCCGCCCCCAGTCGCTCGCGCTTCCACCCACCTCCGTGCGGCCACCCATCGCCCCTCGGGCCCCTCTTCCCCCCCACGCCTCCCTCTCCGCCCGTGCGCAGGCGCCCATCAAGTTCCCCGTCTCGGCCGAGGCGATGGAGAAGATCATCTCGACCAAGGTCGAGGTCATCGCGCTCACCAACGCCCTCGACGCGTGCGTCAACATCGCCGGCCGTGTCTGCTTCCTCGGCCTCAAGGACGCCTTCACCTTCAGCGCCGCCGTCGAGATGACCTACACGCACGAGGCTAGCGACGTCGAGGAGCACGAGGCGGACCACCAAGCGATCGTCGAGCTCATCGACGCCGCCCTCGCGTCGCTCGACGCCAAGCCGGCCGGCGCTGTGATCAAGAGCGCCCTCGTGGCGCACTACGTCGCCTTCGACCGCTTCGAGGCGCGCAGCCCCGGCCCCTCGCCCCTGCTCACGCCCCTGCAGCGCAGCACCGCCCCAGCCCCTCCCGCTGTCCCCGTCCATGCCTCACGCCCCGCGCCATCCCTCGCTGCGCGCAGGCCGTCGTGTCGGTGTAAGCTCCTCAAGACGGGCACAAGCCTCGCACGGTGGGCCGGTGGCCGTCGTGTAGGCGGGCGCGTCGCGAGTGGAGCTATAACTAGTGGGGTGACTGAGACTGTTTGAGGATTGAGGGGTGCTGAGACGTCACTGACGTGAGAGTTTGCTTGGGGGTGCCGGGGTGATGTGCTGCGGTATGATCGGAATATGCGGATGAAATGGAGTGGATTGGAGATGTAACATGTGTAAGCCTCTAGGGCGAATTCACTGGGACAGTGATTTCGCAGAGACTACCTCATTTGCTGCTCCCCCCATGAAGGGGGGTTTGTGTGGGAAGCCAAGGGAGGTTAATGGCTTCCCACATTTGTGATGGGTCGAAATCGGCCCGCCGCATTGATGGTCGAATCGGTGTAACGAATCGAGAGAGAGAGACGCGAGGGCCCAAGAGGCCCGTGGGCTCGCCTGCAGAGCGTCTCTCTCTTGCCATTCTGCTTGTCTGTTTTGTGGCCTCTTCTCTCGTCTGTCGGTGTTTTGTTGGGGTTGGAAGGGGTTGGCACGGGGGTGGAAGGCCACCTCCAGAAGCAACAGCAACGTGTTCGAGCGTCAACCATATTCGTCGTCGGGAAGTGGTTCCGATACGTGATTCTGGTAGGCTGGAACACGCTGACGGTAAAGAGGCCGCAACGCATGGGCTTAGCGGATCTCTCAAGGAGAACGCTACAGCACGGAGCAGCGTCAAGGGAGCTGGCAGAGGTTGGAGCGACTGCGATGTGGAGGCAGAGCCAATACTTGCTCAAGTTAGTCTTGACGCTGCGGACGACAGGATTTGCTGGGGCGGCATCACGCCACCTGGCATGTCTCGGCGCGGCGCCGAGGCACAGAGCCGCTGCGATGCAGCGGCGGCAAGGCACGGCGGCGAAAGCACCATCGCCGGGCAGTCTCGGGGTGGCGTGGAGGGCTTCTCGAGCTCTGCCGGCGGGGCGGCCGCCGCTCACGGGCACGCGACGCGAGGAGGCGTCGCCGAGGGCGTCGAGGAGGCGCTCGACGAGGCGTGGCCGCGGGCCGGGTCCTCTCATAGCCTCGGAGGCGCCGCTGCAGGCGGCGGCGGCAACAGCGGTTCACAGGATGAGGGTTCAGAGGACGAGGGTTCAGAGGACGAGGGTTCAGAGGACGAGGGTTCAGAGCACGAGGGTTCACAGGACGAGGGTTCAGAGGACGAGGGTTCTTAGGACGAGGGTTCAGACGACGAGGAGGTCAGCAGGCAGAGCGGCTGTGGCGGTGAGGGCCATGCGGGCTCTGCTGCCGGCTCGTTCGCCTCTCTCGAGGATGCGACGGCCGGGACAGCCGTCGCTGCAGCCGGCGGCCCCGCGCCGCCTGACGAGCCGCGTCCGTGGACAGCGGCGAGCACCCGCTGCTGGGCGAGAGCAGCGGCGCAAGTCGGCGTCGATGGCGCCGTCGCCGCAAAGCGTGATCGAGATCGCTTTGGCGGAGGCGCGAGCGACGCGGTGCACGACGAGGGGGCGGGCCTCGTCTCGGTGGGCGGCGGCGGGCCGCCTGGCATGTCTCGGCTCGGCGCCGAGGCACAGAGCCGCTGCGAGGCAGCGGCGGCAACGCGCGGCGGCGGAGGCACCATCGCCGGGCAGTCTCGGGGTGGCGTGGAGGGCCACTCGAGCTCTGCCGGCGGTGCGGTCGCCACGCACGGGCACGCGACGCGAGGAGGCGTCGCCGAGGGCGTCGACGAGGCGCTCGACGAGGCGCGGCCGCGGGCCGGGTCCTCTCGGAGCCGCGGAGGCGCCGCTGCAGGCGGCGGCGGCGAGAGCGAAGTCAGCAGGCAGAGCGGCTGTGGCGGTGAGGGCCATGCGGGCTCTGCTGCCGGCTCGCTCGCCTCTCTCGAGGACGCGACGGCCGGGACAGCCGTCGCTGCAGCCGGCGGCACCGCGCCGCCTGACGAGCCGCGTCCGTGGACAGCGGCGAGCACCCGCTGCTGGGCGAGAGCAGCGGCGCAAGTCGGCGTCGATGGCGGCGTCGCCGCAAAGCGTGATCGAGATCGCTTTGGCGGAGGCGCGAGCGACGCGGTGCACGACGAGGGGGCGGGCCTCGTCTCGGTGGGCGGCGGCGGGCCGCCTGGCATGTCTCGGCTCGGCGCCGAGGCACAGAGCCGCTGCGAGGCAGCGGCGGCAACGCGCGGCGGCGGAGGCACCATCGCCGGGCAGTCTCGGGGTGGCGTGGAGGGCCACTCGAGCTCTGCCGGCGGTGCGGTCGCCACGCACGGGCACGCGACGCGAGGAGGCGTCGCCGAGGGCGTCGACGAGGCGCTAGGCGAGGCGCGGCCGCGGGCCGGGTCCTCTCGGAGCCGCGGAGGCGCCGCTGCAGGCGGCGGCGGCGAGAGCGAGGTCAGCAGGCAGAGCGGCTGTGGCGGTGAGGGCCATGCGGGCTCTGCTGCCGGCTCGCTCGCCTCTCTCGAGGACGCGACGGCCGGGACAGCCGTCGCTGCAGCCGGCGGCACCGCGCCGCCTGACAAGCCGCGCCTGTGGACAGCGGCGAGCACCCGCTGCTGGGCGAGGGCAGCGGCTCAAGTCGGCGTCGATGGCGCCGTCGCCGCAAAGCGTGACCGAGATCGCTTTGGCGGAGGCGCGAGCGACGCGGTGCACGACGAGAGGGCGGGCCTCGTCTCGGTGGGCGGCGGCGGGCCGCCTGGCATGTCTCGGCTCGGCGCCGAGGCGCAGAGCCGCTGCGAGGCAGCGGCGGCAACGCGCGGCGGCGGAGGCACCATCGCCGGGCAGTCTCGGGGTGGCGTGGAGGGCCACTCGAGCTCTGCCGGCGGTGCGGTCGCCACGAACGGGCACGCGACGCGAGGAGGCGTCGCCGAGGGCGTCGACGAGGCGCTAGGCGAGGCGCGGCCTCGGACCATGTCCTCTCGATGCCGCGGAGGCGCCGCTGCAGGCGGCGGCGGCGAGAGCGAAGTCAGCAGGCAGAGCGGCTGTGGCGGTGAGGGCCATGCGGGCTCTGCTGCCGGCTCGCTCGCCTCTCTCGAGGACGCGACGGCCGGGACAGCCGTCGCTGCAGCCAGCGGCACCGCGCCGCCTGACGAGCCGCGTCCGTGGACAGCGGCGAGCACCCGCTGCTGGGCGAGAGCAGCGGCTCAAGTCGGCGTCGATGGCGCCGTCGCCGCAAAGCGTGATCGAGATCGCTTTGGCGGAGGCGCGAGCGACGCGGTGCACGACGAGGGGGCGGGCCTCGTCTCGGTGGCCGGCGGCAGGCCGCCTGGCATGTCTCGGCTCGGCGCCGAGGCACAGAGCCGCTGCGAGGCAGCGGCGGCAACGCGCGGCGGCGGAGGCACCATCGCCGGGCAGTCTCGGGGTGGCGTGGAGGGCCACTCGAGCTCTGCCGGCGGTGCGGTCGCCACGCACGGGCACGCGACGCGAGGAGGCGTCGCCGAGGGCGTCGACGAGGCGCTCGACGAGGCGCGGCCGCGGGCCGGGTCCTCTCGGAGCCGCGGAGGCGCCGCTGCAGGCGGCGGCGGCGAGAGCGAGGTCAGCAAGCAGAGCGGCTGTGGCGGTGAGGGCCATGCGGGCTCTGCTGCCGGCTCGCTCGCCTCTCTCGAGGACGCGACGGCCGGGACAGCCGTCGCTGCAGCCGGCGGCACCGCGCCGCCTGACGAGCCGCGTCCGTGGACAGCGGCGAGCACCCGCTGCTGGGCGAGAGCAGCGGCGCAAGTTGGCGTCGATGGCGCCGTCGCCGCAAGACGTGATCGAGATCGCTTTGGCGGAGGCGCGAGCGACGCGGTGCACGACGAGGGGGCGGGCCTCGTCTCGGTGGGCGGCAGCACGCCGCCTGACATGTCTCGGCTCGGCGCCGAGGCACAGAGCCGCTGCGAGGCAGCGGCGGCAACGCGCGGCGGCGGAGGCACCATCGCCGGGCAGTCTCGGGGTGGCGTGGAGGGCCACTCGAGCTCTGCCGGCGGTGCGGTCGCCACGCACGGGCACGCGACGCGAGGAGGCGTCGCCGAGGGCGTCGACGAGGCGCTCGACGAGGCGCGGCCGCGGGCCGGGTCCTCTCGGAGCCGCGGAGGCGCCGCTGCAGGCGGCGGCGGCGAGAGCGAGGTCAGCAGGCAGAGCGGCTGTGGCGGTGAGGGCCATGCGGGCTCTGCTGCCGGCTCGCTCGCCTCTCTCGAGGACGCGACGGCCGGGACAGCCGTCGCTGCAGCCGGCGGCACCGCGCCGCCTGACGAGCCGCGTCCGTGGACAGCGGCGAGCACCCGCTGCTGGGCGAGAGCAGCGGCTCAAGTCGGCGTCGATGGCGCCGTCGCCGCAAAGCGTGATCGAGATCGCTTTGGCGGAGGCGCGAGCGACGCGGTGCACGACGAGGGGACGGGCCTCGTCTCGGTGGGCGGCAGCACGCCGCCTGACATGTCTCGGCTCGGCGCCGAGGCACAGAGCCGCTGCGAGGCAGCGGCGGCAACGCGCGGCGGCGGAGGCACCATCGCCGGGCAGTCTCGGGGTGGCGTGGAGGGCCACTCGAGCTCTGCCGGCGGTGCGGTCGCCACGCACGGGCACGCGACGCGAGGAGGCGTCGCCGAGGGCGTCGACGAGGCGCTCGACGAGGCGCAGCCGCGGGCCGGGTCCTCTCGGAGCCGCGGAGGCGCCGCTGCAGGCGGCGGCGGCGAGAGCGAAGTCAGCAGGCAGAGCGGCTGTGGCGGTGAGGGCCATGCGGGCTCTGCTGCCGGCTCGCTCGCCTCTCTCGAGGACGCGACGGCCGGGACTTCGTCGGCGCAGCCGGCGGCACCGCGCCGCCTGACGAGCCGCGTCCGTG